ACCACAAGGTGGTGAGGGTATTATGTCTTTGTGCATTTGTTTGTAACAGGCAAAAGGAAACGAGATAGACCCATAGTTCCTTTTGATGATCTGCATAAAATCACTTTCTGAGTTGATCTATGCATGTCAGTCCGTCTGTCCGTCCGTCCGTCTGTCCATGTATTCTTGTGAACAAAATGCAGGTCGCATTTATTATCCGATTGAGATGAAATTTTCCAAACAACATTTATTTGATGCAAGGACGAACCCTATTGAAATTGGAGATAATCGGTAAAAATTTAGATATAGCTCCCATATATATCTTCGTCCGATTTGCCTTTTATTGTGCACCAAACGTGTAATATCAGCCCGAATAGTATGGAATTTTGCACATACAACCAAATTAGGCCTGCAAATAAGTATGCCTGATTTGATCGGAATCGGTTCAGATATAGCTATAGCTCCCATATATATTGTTCATCCGATTAGTTATTTTTGTCCACCGCAGCCGTAATATTCACTCTTTAACAACAATATTTGGGGAAATATATGAAATACAGCTCAGAAATGCCTTTTCTAAATTTTATCGAGATCGGTTCAGATTTGGATATAGCTCTCATATATATATTTATCAGAATTCAAATTAATTTTGCGCCAAATGGTCAATATAAGTCCGAATTTAAAAGATACAAATGCTTCGGCGTATTTAATCCTTTGAATTTTAAATTATAATTATAATCATAGGGCGTATGATTGAATTCTCCCATAAAAACTCTTAATTCTTATGTGGAGCTCAACTAAATTAGCAAAGTGGTGTAGGGTATCATATAATCGGCCCCGCCCGAGTTTAGGACTTTCTTTACTGGTTTTCTTTTGAATTTTATCTCATTTAATTTGATTGATATATATTAAGGCATTTCTAAAGATATCTAGATATTTCGTGGATTTTTTTTTTTTGGAAATATTGGACATTTATGTTAAGTCGTGTTCTGTTCTTATAGTAATTTATTAATTATCAATGTAATGTCTTAATTATTCGCCTAAACTTCTTTGGAGTATATATTTTCATTAGAATTCAATACATACTACAATCATATCCCACTGTAACCGTATTCAAAAGTAAATTCTTGGGAAAAATGTAATACAAACCGTCCATAAAGAGATATGGGGGTAAACAAGGACATATAGATGTACATATGTACATGCACATGTACACAAACATACTAACTTTGTGTGTGCGTGTGTGTGTCTGTCGTTCTCTCTCTGTGTACACAACTATTAGAATAAATTCTGCTAAGAAGCCTGTCTGTAGAACAAACGAAGACTTTGTCGAGTACTTGGCAAAAACTTTAAACAAGTCGAGTAGTTTAGGGCAATTCACGTCTCTTTTGCGCCCAGTCGTTTTTCTTTTTATTTTTTTGTGCTTCTTCTTTCTTGGTTTAGTTTCTTCGGCCGCAATGTTATAAGTTTACTTTCTAAACTTGTTTAAATGCAGAATTTGAGCCTATTCAACCGGAAGATGAGTTTAGGAAAGTGGGCCAACAAAAAAAAAAAAAATACCAACCAACAAACGAATGAATGAAAGCGATGTAAAGAAACTGCAAGGAATGAAACTTTATAAACGATAAGTAGACTCATCATCATCATCAACATGGTTGTTCTCGTCCTCAAGTTAGTTTCATTTTGGTTACCAAAATAGTTAAGTGGTAATGGAGGACGTGATAGTATCTTTGAGATGGAAGTTTTCCCCGAAAAACAAAAACAAAACAAAATTACATAGACAAAGTCAGTAAATTGAAAATAAATAGTCAATGTGTATTTTAGGTATACAAAATACTCCCCATAGTGGTGGTGGATCTGCTGCTGATGAGGATAACGATAATGGAGTACACACATCGATGATGGGTTAGGTGAAAAACAGGAAGCTGTTTAATAAAATTTACAACTTTGTTTGATGACTTAAGTTAGTTAAGTAAAACTTGATTTAATCATTTTCGTCGTCGTCATTATCATCATCATCATCGACGCCATTTTCTTTCAAAAGTTTTTCCCAACACATTGTCAGAACAAGGCATAATTTGGTTTGATTTTCTCTACATGACATTGCATAGTATATTGTTTCATATGAAGCATATGGCGTGTTTTGGAAGTACAGGTAGTTAGTTCTATTTTCATGAAAACTCAGATTTTGTTAAAGACTCATAGTACAGCTGAACATGAGTCGCATCTGAAAGAGAGAAAGGTACGGTCACTTGTTACCATAGTTTTTTACAATTGTCAGAAAATGTCAAGAATAAAGTCAAAGTTTTTGAAATAACTGAATATCCTGAATAGAGAGGGAAAGATACGCCCCCTTCAACATTTTCCAAAAATTTAAAGACTTCTTGGACTATTTCTTGACTATACGAGATTTAATTTTCAGCCACCAAAGGGGAATTTTTGGTCTTTTTTTTAAATATGATAAAAATGCCCCTTAAAACAGGATCGTAGCACAAAATTATCAATATAACCACACGTTTTTGTACGGCACCCATATAAAAATAACTCCTGATTTAGGTTATTGCAAAGCGATACATTCCATATTCACATCAGATCCCTGGCTGAGAGAAATACTTAGGTATACCAAGTTTGAAAAGAATCGTTGAATTGGTTAACAGTTTATTAGAGGTATACAGGGTGAGATAAAAAAAACTGCAACAAAGTCAAACGCCTTCATATTTACAGTTTTTTTTTTAAATTTTATTGGTTGAAAGCAAAAAATGTCGGAAATAGCATCAAATCTTAGAATAAGTTTAGATTTGTTCGAATTGGTCCCCTTTGGCACGAATAATGGCCTTCAAACGGCCAATGAAAACGTCACACGCTGCCCGAATGTTGCTCTGCGGTAATTTGGTCCATTCCCGGCGAAGCGTTTGCTTGAGGTGATCGGCACTTGGGTATTTTTTTGTGTCAACCTTGCTTTCCAAAAAAATCCCGACACAATAGTCCAACGGATTGGTATCCGAAGATTTTGGTGGGCACTGTGCGCTGGAAATGAAGCGAGGAACCTCATTTTGTAACCATTCAAGGGTGGCGGGTGCTCAGTGCAATAGTGCTAAGTTCCGTTGGAATGTCCAAGGTCTGCAGCCAAACTGTTTGCGTGACCAAGGCTTTAATCCACCCTCCAGAATATTTTCGCGATAATATTTGGCATTTATTCTGATGCCACGGTCGATTAATACGAGCGAAGAGCGACCATCGGCTGTTATGGCGGCCCACACCATCACCATAGCTGGCGCTTGGGTTCTGGTGGCCAACCGACGGTGCACATTTTCAGCTGACCTCTTTGACAAGTAATCACAATCATTTTGTTTGTTTACAAACTGCTGGACAACAAATATTTTCTCATCGGAGAAAACTTTACAATGGCTTTACCCCGAGCTCATTTTTCAATATTTGCCGAATGGAATATTGCAATATGTTCTGCTCACGAGCCATTTTTCGGCCACTGCGAGGCGGGTTTCGATCAGGTCGCTTCTTTATTTTTCGAACCATTTCTGCTGATGTTGCTGGTTTCTTCCGTCCACTTCCTTGACGTCGGGCTACGCAACCAGTATCACGGTGACGAGCGATGGTACGAGACTCAAAAGATTTATTCACATTTAAATGCTGGAGTGCTCTAACGATAGCCACTTGTGGTTTTCCAACCAAAAATTTTTAAATCACACTGTCTCGCTTGAATTCCATCACAAATATCTTTTTTTTTTTAAGTTTTTTCATCTCCCCCTTTATATATCCTTCCAAACCACCAACAAATCTCCAATACAGATGCCATTAGCAGAAAAAATATCATATTTTAGAATTTTATCTCTATCACTTCAATCTATGCCAAATTTTGTATTATTTAGAACTTGTATTTTTATACCCTACACCACAAGGTGGTCAGGGTATTATGTCTTTGTTTGTAACGGGCAAAAGGAAACGAGATAGACCCATAGTTCGTTTTGATGATCTGCATAGAATCACATTCTGAGTCGATTTATGCATGTCCGTCCCTCCGTCCGTCTGTCCGTCTGTCCATGTATTTTTGTAAACAAAGTACAGTTCGCATTTATTGCCCTATCCAGATGAAATTTTGCACAAATCATTTGTTTGGCCTAAGGACGAACCTTATTGAAATTGGAGATAATCGGTAAAAATTTAGATATAGCTCCCATATATATCTTCGTCCGAGTTGCCTTTTATTGTGCACCAAATGTGTAATATCAGTCGGAATAGCATGGAATTTTGCACGTACGATCAGATTGCACCTGAAAATAAGTATGCCAAATTTGATAGAAATCGGTTCAGATATAGTTATAGCTCCCATATATATTCCTCATCCGATTTGTTATTTTTGTCCTCCGCAGCCGTAATATGCACTCTGTAACAACAATATTTGGGCAATCATATCAAATGCAGCTCAGAAATACATTTGCTAAATTTGTTATTTTTGTCCTCCAATATGACGTTCGGCCCCTCCCGACTTTAAGACTTTCTTTACTGGTTTTTTTTTATTATTTAGTATTTTGTATTAGTACGAAAGTACAGTTATAGTTCACATTTCCAAAACCACCTACTCATCTCAATTCCAGATACCAACAGAGACCTCAATGTCAAATTTCAGATTTGTATCTCCATCCCTTCAACCAATGCCACATTTGGTACTATTTAGTCCTTTTCGAAAAATACCTTAATATGGTGAATATCCCTTCACTCAATACCAAATATTGTACAGCTCAAAATTTTTCGCACAATTTTAGAACAGCTTTCCGAAAGCACCTCCATATCCCCGCAGACGTACTGAGCAAAATCGTCTTAGAATTTTGCGCTGATCAAGAATATATACCTTTTGTTAGGTCTAAAATTATTATTTTGATGAGTTACAAACGGAATTACGAACTTAATATATCTTCCATACTATGTACGGTGGAGGGTGTAAAAAAATGTACTTTATATTTTTATCATTAAATATTACAAATATTCTCTCGCTTTTCTTACAGGTCTATATTGTCGGACATATACCGCCTGGGTCGGACGAACGTCATATTGGCCTACTACAAAACGGTCACACCACATTTACCGAGAGCAACAACAAACGTTATCTGGAGCTAGTAAGAAAATACTCATCAATTATTCAGGGGCAATTTTTCGGTCACTTGCATTCCGATTCATTTCGAATAATATACGACGACAAAGGTATGTACACCACAGCCAGATTGCCACCACTCCACTTAATGATATCTGAATGTAATTTGCGGGTGTTGTTAAATATAATAGCTTGTGATTGAGAGTGTGCGTGCGTGTGTGTGTGCGTGTAAATGGTAATGAATATGAAATCGATTTATTGCCGCTCTCTTGACCCAACTGTATAGACCGCATGAATACCCATAACCGATTTGTATGCAAATATTTATTGAAAATGACAAATATTAATTTAAATTGTTTAACCTTACTCCAGGCATAATGGTTACATGGTTGGCCAAACTAATCCAAACAGGCTATACAAACATGAAATACACTTTATGTCTGCATAGAATATCGATGAAATCTATCTTCATTTGGTCGGGATGGCATTGTTTGTAAATGTGATTTTATATCACATTTGGTTGTCCGATTATTCCTTGCTGACATTATCATAAATATTGAATATATTTTGTGTGTCAGTGTGTACTGTGTGTACGTTCCACAACCTTGGGTCATACTTATCCAGTCCCAAAGCTTGGCTTTGACTATAAGAATTTACTCAAATATTTTATCACAAATCAAATATTTGTTATAATATATATGTACATTGGGATGTATGCAACTGAAGGAACAAGTGAGAACAAGTAAAAAGCTTTAAGTTCGGACGGGCTGAACTTTGAATACCCTCCACCATTTGGAACGAATTTGGTAATTCTCATAAACAATAAAATCCGTTGAAAATTATGTTGAAATTTTAAAAATATCGAATGTAGCTGTTATATTAGGGTCTATACGACAACATAGACCTGCATAGGTAACATTTGTCATAAGCCATTACAATATTCAAATGCGAAACTTAAAAAAAATCGGTGATAATGTAGCTAAAATCTTCAAAATACCGAATATAGAAAGGTACCGTTATATGGGGGCTATACGAAAACGTGCACCTACACAGACAATCTTCTGTAATAGGCTGTAGTATCCATTACGAATTTTAAATGGCAAATTTGAAAGAATTCCGGTGAATAATGCCGCTAAAATCATCAAAATACCGAATATCGGGAGGTACCGTTATATGGGGGCTATACGAAGACGTGGACCTACATAGACAATCTCCTATCATAGGCTGTAGTATCCACTACGAACTTCATATACCAAATTTGAAAGAATTCCGGTGAATAATGTCGCTAAAATCATCAAAATACCGAATATCGGGAGGTACCGTTATATGGGGACTATACGAAGACGTGGACCTACATACACAATCTCCTGTCATAGCTGTAGTATCCACTACGAACATAAAATATCAAATTTGAAAGAATTCCGGTGAATAATGTCGCTAAAATCAACAAAGTACATAATATCGGGAGGTACCGTTATATGGGGGCTATACGAAGACGTGGACCTGCATAGACTAGTTGGGTCTAAAATTATTATTTCGATGAGTTACAAACAGAATGATGAACTTAATTAACTTATAATGTATTGTGGAGGGAATAAAAATATATATCAGAGCCAACATTCTTACGAGCCATTTTTCGGCCACTGCGAATCGGGTTTTGATCAAGTCGCTTCTTTACTTTTCGAACCCTTTCTGCTAATGTTGATGTTTTCTTCCGTTCACTTCCTTGACGTCGGGCTATCACGGTAACGATCGCTGGTACGAGACGCAAAAGATTTATTCACATTTAAATGTTGGAGTGCTCTAACGATAGCCACTTGTGGTTTTCCAGCCAAATATAAGGAATTCCATCACGCATAACTTTTTTCTGGAAAATTCTCACCAGAATGCTTTTGTGCGCTTGTAAACAATATAATGAGCTGTCACTGGTATCATTTTAACAGCTGTCGGACGAGTGACTTAAAAATGACAGCAGTCTGAAGTTTGTTGTAGTTTTTTCATCTCAATTTGAAGCGATCTCGATAAATTTTTCAGGAGATATTTCTGTGCTGCAGTCAATTTTCAATACCAAAAGTCCTGCAGACAAAACACAAATTTGAGTAAAATGTTATCAACCTACTTCAATTCGTTTGGAAGCGGTCACCATTAAATCGACATAGATTTTTATGCTGATCAAAAATATATACACTGTGTGGGGTCTGAAATGTATATTTCGATGTGTTACAAGCGGAATGACAAACTTAATATGACCTCCAAAGTATAGTGGTCCCTTTTTCCCCATCCCACCCAAATACATATAAAATAATAACATTCAAATTATGAAAATGTATAATACAGTAGCATTCATTACAGTCGGTTTGGGAATTTCCGTTTCTCATTTTTCCTGTTCCACGGTTAACCGCGCTACAAATTGCTCCACAAAGATTGAGCTGCATATCGTTCAACGCGGTGTCCCCCCACAGTTGGGCAATCGACATCATTTATTTGAAATTATTCAGTATGTTTGTTCCTTCGAACTGCTGGACCGAATTGACAATAAATGTGAATGTGTGTGTGTGTCTCACTCTCTCTCTCCCTCTCACAGCCTGTGTCTCCTTGTGTACACACAATACAAATGACATTGTTCTGGTACACTCACTCGCATCCATCGGTGGGTGACATAGAACAGATTCACGTAAATTGTGATAAGTAAAGATTGCAACATTTACACAATGGGCAAGGGCTCCACATTCATTCGTTCGTTCATTCGCTCATTTGTTGAAACTCTAGGTGGGAAAATTGATATTGAGGGCGGGTTAGTGTGTATGTAAATGAATAAATGTGACTGTCCATTAGGATGTGTTTCGTATGCACAAAGTGATTCTTATTGATGTTGTGTCGGGTACTTTGCATTACTGTGGTTATTATGTTGTGTTATTCGCATCATCGTTGTTGTTCTTGTTGTTGTTGTTGCCGGGCAAGTATGGCAGTATGTGTTTGTGCTGAATGGCAATTATTACATTGGGGAAAAAACTCCACTAACAAATTCATGTACGATTGGTTGTTTGGTCGATTCCGGTCAGTTGGTGGCCAAGGGAGCAAGAAGTAACCCGTGACTAAGGCAGTCATTGTTGTCGTTTATGTGTGTGTGTGTTTGTGTCTGTGTGTGTGTGTTTAGTCCTATAAATTCTCAAACAAATCTATTTGTGTTTGCACACTATTTATATGTAAATGTAGTCAAATGGATTTTCATCTGTGTCCATGACTGGATCTGGACACAGGCTGAATAAATGCAAATAATGGAAGATTAGACATTGTGTGTTGCGTTGACAATCAGCAACAAAAGCAAATACATAAATGAATTGTCTGTCCTAAATACAGACGGTTGCGGTTGACATTTATGGTTTTTAAGAACTGCAAAGAACAACATGCCGGGCCGAAAAAGTTAACTAATCTATAAGAAATTTATGCTATTATTGAATTATTATTGCAACAAATTTTTGTTGACCATAAAATTCCTAAGAATTTGGAAGACTTAAGGCACTTGCTACAAAGGAATGTTTTAGTGGGCAGAAAGATTTCTTCAGAAATTGTCAAAATAAGTCAAGTTTAGAAAATCACTTCTTTCTGGCAGACAACTCAAATGCCCAATGGATGGAAAAGCACTACATAAAATTGATATGCTTGGTGTCTCACGTGGTGGCTATAATCTCATTGTTACAGCAATTAGGATATTAAAAAGAAAACGTTTTGAAAACCATAATGCTCGTGATGTTTTACTCACTCTTATGTGTCGAGAAAATTAAACAAGGTACCTCAAGCCATACATATTTTATTGTGGCGGCGAAATTATGGAGTAATGGGAGGACTTAGAGTTTATGTCATATAATTGTAGGACAGATACATTGAAATCGTATCGTGGATAGTTCGGCAGTTATATCAAAATCTGATGCGATTATCATAAATTTAAGAAAAAAGTCAAAATTTCAACATGATGGACGACCCGGTTAGTTATGCTGTGAAGATCGTCAAAGGCAACTATGAGTTTATCTCAGAAAAGGTAATAATACCTCTTAGGGTATAAAAACTTAGAATCTGCTGCGCATTTAACTATATCAACGTTATCCGATTATATACCTCAATGAAATCGATATCAAAGTGATCCTAATATTACACTTCATAACTCCAGTCCTATTAATACGATCCATGCCAAATGTCAAAATTTTGGCTCAATCCGTTCTCGCAATACCAAATATTAACTAATTTCTTTCTTTTGGTACTTTCAGTACACAAATAGTTTGAAGTTCAAAAGAAAAAAAAAATTGTAAGGAAAGTCAAAATTTGGGCGGAGACGGCTAGATGATACCCTAAACCATGAACCTAAACTAATATCCAATTCTGAATAAATTTTCACTAAATTGGACAGAGACATTTTTATCTTTTATACCAAATAACATTGCTATAGAGTGCATGATATCATTTCGAGAAGGATTTTATTAAAAAAATATATATCGGAGTCGAGTTCCACAAAATGGAAACGTACGTCCCGGAATTATCACCATTTGGGCTGATATTAGTCATTATTTGCATAATAAACCTGAACTCGGATTAAGGATGTATATGGAAGCTATATCCAAATCGTAGCCAATCGCAATAAAATTTGGCAGATATATTTCCGAGCTCTATAAGATATCTGTTACCAAATATCATTGTTATCGAATGTATATCACGAATGTGAGGGACGTTAACACCAAATAGAATGAAACATACATATGGAAGCTATAGCTATATCTGAACCGATTTTCACCAAATTTGATGTACTAGCTTGTGTACTAGATTTGGTCAGATGTGACAAAATTCAGGATATTTGGACTGATATTGGCAATTTGGAGCACAATTAACCCGAAATCGGTTGAAAATATATATAGGAGCTATTTCCAAATCTGAACCGATCTTGATACAATTTGGCAGAGGTATTTATGATATCTGATACCAAACATCATTTTTGTATGGTGCATATTACGAATTTGGGGGACTGAAACACCACATCGGATGAAACCTATATATGGGAGATATATTTATATCTGAACCAACTTTCTAAATCAATGTACTTGATTCTAGACTGAATTCG